TGCCTATGTTTCAGGAGCCAACAAAGAGGGATGGGGTTGTGAGTGGTGATGGGCAGGTCCTAGATTTGGACACTGCTGTAAAAGATGGGGTTTTGGGTGGTGTTGATGGCGCGGTTATTGGTTGTGGTGTTGCTGAGAAATTGGATCTGAAGAAGATGATTGAAGAGCTTGATTTGGCTGAAGTACCTCCGGTGTTTATATGCCCAATCTCCCTCGAGCCAATGCAGGACCCTGTCACTCTTTCCACCGGCCAAACTTACGAGAGGTGCAACATTCTCAAATGGTTCAGTTTGGGGCGTTATACTTGCCCTACTACAATGCAAGAGCTTTGGGATGATTCTGTTACTCCTAATAATACCCTTTACCAATTGATTCACACTTGGTTCTCTCAAAAGTATTTGCTCATGAAGAAGAGATCCGAGGATGTACAAGGAAGGGCAAGTGAGCTCGTCGAGACATTGAAGAAAGTCAAGGGTCAAGCAAGAGTTCAAGCCTTGAAGGAGCTGCAACAAGTTGTGGCTGCTCATGCCACCGCTAGAAAGACAGTGGTTGATGAAGGTGGGGTTGCTGTTATCTCCTCCTTGCTAGGTCCATTTACTTCGCATGTTGTTGGTTCTGAGGTGATTGGCATTCTTGTGAATTTGACACTCGATTCTGAATCCAAAACCAACTTGATGCAGCCTGCCAAGATTTCATTAATGGTTGATATGTTGAATGAGGGGTCTATTGAGACGAAGATTAACTGTACTCGGTTGATTGGGAAATTGATGGAGGTGAATGATTTTCGTCCGGAGGTTGTGTCAAGCCATAGTCTTTTGGTAGGGTTGATAAGGCTGGTGAAAAATAAGAGGCATAGCAATGGAATTTTGCCTGGACTTAGCCTACTTAGGTCGATATGTTTTCATAAAGAAGTTAGGAGGTTGATTGTCAGCATTGCAGCCGTTCCTCAACTGGTTGATTTGTTGCCTTCTCTGGATCCTGACTGTTTGGAGTTAGCGCTTTGTATCTTGGATGAACTTTCATGTGTACCTGAGGGAAGACAGGCTTTGAAGGATTGTGCAAACACAATACCAAATATGGTGAGGCTGCTGATGAGAGTTTCGGAGAGTTGTACTCAGTATGCATTGTCAATCTTATGGTCTGTATGTAAACTTGCTCATGAGGAATGTTCAACCATTGCCGTGGATGCTGGTCTAGCTGCAAAACTTCTTCTTGTCATTCAAAGTGGTTGCGATCCTGCGTTGAAGCAAAGGTCTGCAGAGCTACTAAAGCTGTGTAGTCTAAACTATACAGATACCATTTTCATTTCCAAGTGCAAGCTCACAAGGACAATCCAATGAGTGGGAATAATATGCTTGTTGTACACTATCCTTTTGATGCTAGGGCAAGGGAGTTAAGGGACTGATGGCTTTGACATCGTGGTTGTCTCGGATCAGCTAAGAAGTGTAAATAGTGCTTGCTCTTCTGTATATTCTTAATCACTTTAGTTCCAGTTATTGATTCTTAAAAACATGGAGAAGCATATTATCCTGTGGTGGATTGACATCAATTGATCATTAGCCGATTCTAATTGTCAATGCGTTCTTAGATAAACCCCATCAAGAAGTTCTGTAAAATGTTAGATTTTGGTGGATTTGTGTTGGGGTGGGTGGGGGTATAGTTTTTGGATAAGAATACTTTGTATGGGGGAGATAATTCTGTGCAAGCAGTTCGGAGCTTACTATTGCAATTATAAGTCCAGCAATTGCTTTGTTCTCCCTAGCTCTTAGTTTCCGGGGGGGCTCCAATTTTCCTTTCTATTGTAGTGGGAGTGTTTCTTTTGAACCCCGCAAATGTAGAGGCTGGAGTGCCCTTTGGCCTCAAATTGTCAATTTAATGTACAAGGAATGAAATTAGCTACTTTATTATTATCTAATCTTGTCTTTCACTCTTCTTCTTCAGATTCTGAATTGATAAAAGTAATGTACTGGTTCATCTTGATATTCTAGTTTCAAAGATGGTAACTGTGGCGCATGGGAAAGAGAAAGCGACAAAACTTTGGTCTTTGCTTGGAAGATTTGCTAAGCAGATGCTTGAATGGTAAGACTGTCGACACCTGGAGGCATAGTGTACTTTTGTTTACCCTTTGCGGGGCTAAGTGAGGGACAAGACCTCTTGTTACCTCACCCTCAATTACTGTTTCACATGAAAAGATAGAAAAGAAAGATGAAGGGATACACTCAATCCCTCTTCAATTATTATTACTATTTATATCAGAAAGCAACTCCAATTTGTGAGGGCAGTAATTGCAGAGCAACCAATGCCCCTCTAACAGTAACAGGACCATGACCATGTGATAAACGCTGTCGATTCAACTCAAACCTTTCATCAACCAAATATTAAAGGGATTCAATTCAAATGTTGATGAAAATAGGATAAGGTTATGATATATTTGAGATTGTATGGTAGCATTTCGCTTGAACATTAAATGCAATAGGTAGATTGTTTTTTACCAAGGGGGACATAAGAGGAAACAACAAGTTTTGAATATTGGTGGGCCTTCAAAGTCGCTCTACAGTGAAGACCAAATACTGGTTACACATTCATAGCTTCGGCTTCTACAGCACCTTTTTGTAACCTAGACAAATTTCTTCATTTTCAATAATATTAAATTTAACAGCAAAACAAAAGACACCTCCTTTGAAACCTTTGCTTGTCCTTTAAAAAGGGCCCTACTTAATGTCCTCTGTGTTGGGCCAACCAAGAAAAAATTTACCTTAAGATCTTTTATTCTGAAACCAGAGATTCGTGCGATCTAACCGTAGATTTTGCATTATAATGACTGAACATGTGGGTCATAAATATTAGTTTCTCCTTTTAATGTCAGTTGAATTCCAGTATGGAGACTTTCCTTTTTCTGTCTTAAAGATACAGCTTGCAATTTCAAGTTGGTGGTGGTTCCACTAAAAATGTTTAGCTAAATAAGGGAGCTGACGAGAAGAGAAACGGGGGGTTTGGGGTATAATTATAGGCCTATTTAAGAAATATTCGAAATTATAATTGAAAATGTGGTTGTTAAATTGAGGAACAAGGGCAGTGAAAAATGATTCCATCTCAGTGCGGCCTGTTGTCGTGTAGTTTTCAGCTTTGACTAATGAAAATTGATAGTGGCATTATTTGATTGTGAACCTTCAAGAAAAAGCAAAAGCTCCTTCCTTGTGTTTCTGCTGCCTATTTTGGATGCTTTTTTATGTTTGATAACTGTAGCTAATCATGAAAATTGGAAACCCATCTTTTTTTAAAAATAAAATGTTAAATTAAGGTGGCTTTGAGGGCGATTCATGCAGTGGGACTGGGAGGTAGGCCCATTGAATGACCTTTCAGCGTCCACTTTCTAATCTTTGAAACGTGAGCCCATATTTTAACAAATAAATATCTACTAAATAATTGGATTGGAGGATTATTGTCTCTCTTTTTTTTTTTTTTTTGAAGAAAAAAGAATTCAAGCAATCATCTATCTCAATTCTCAATGTTTCAAGAGTTGTGACTTGTGACACTAATGCAATGCATTTCTTTTCTTGGAACAGTATTTTATTTCTTTAATTTTAATAATTACAATTAAAAATAAAATTGTGAATGATTTAACAAGATTTGACTTGTAATTATAATGACAAAATTTGTAAAATTCAATTCAATATCATAAATATTATAATAAGTTAAATCAAATATGATGGTATTTTGGTGTTAATTTATTGGCATTAATTATTGATTAGTTTATTATGTAGACTAGAGTGATGATCTCACGAGAAACTTGTACTTACAATTCATTCTTCACACCACAGATGAGACCTTCTGAGTCTGACTATTTTACTCAATTAATATCGGATCTGGGTTCGGGTCCTGTGAGGTAGCAGATGAAATGCAAAAAATAATTCATGAAATTCAAGTTTCAGAGAGAGGTTGTCCTAATGAGAATCTGAATAGTTGGTGAAATTATAGACAGGAATCCAGGTTTTAAGTAGATGAAATGAGAGAATAATTCGAAAAGTTAAAGTTTAAGAGAGTGAAGATTTTTAGATACAAGATTTGTAAACAAGAAATTAATTATTTAGTCAAACAATTCATGCTAAAAGTAAAATCTAAGAAATAAAAAAGCATAGTGAAGCAGTGATTGGTTCACGTGAGTTTGGAGATGTCTTCGGGAGTCACGTGTTCCATGATCAGGCGTGGCCTATTTAAGTTAATTACAAATTTTGAGTTAAAATGAAAGAAAGACTATGCTAAATACATCGAACCTCGATCAAAGTTCAATTACTATTGTAATTAATAACTGATACTCCTCAACAACGAGCACTAATGGCGGTCTAAATACATTAGCATCTGGTTCTGTTCTCACATTTTACAGTAATTTTTTTGTAAGATTTTCTTATGTTCTGTCTGACACTCTAAATCCTTATAGAAGTTTTACCCATCATAGCTTCATTACCACATAAGTGGAAATGGTATGCAGCTCAATGGGATTCCAACATTTGAAGCTGTTAAATACTTTTTAACTATTTAATTAATCACTGCAACCCTATGAACAACACAGAAAGGACAGTTGGAATTATTTCGGTGTCAAAATCAAGAGATATTGGTAGTTAATTATTGGTTAGTTTGGTCAAACAAGTGGCCGCTTGTGACATTTTGAGGGCGCTGTCGCTATTAAGAGGCGGCTGGTCTTCTCCTTTCGATCAAATCCTTTCTTTTATGTTCACTATTACACTAATGACTTTATAACAACACCAATTGATCAACCATGAAAGAAAATTATGGAGGGAGATATTTAATTAATCATGGGAGAGAGATGGTCAAAAATTCAGCACTTGACCTCGCTTTTGCAGATGTCACCTCTTAATCATCCATGGCGGCTGTTCATTAAAAAAAAAAAAATAATGCAAAATTTGAATTTCGGTTGCTCCTCCAAACGGCTTCATCTTGCGGTCATTGGCTTTCCTCTTCTACCACCCATCACTCTTTTATCTGTGTTCTATATAAAGCAGTCTTATCAGGAATAATGTCACATTACAACAAAATCAAACTCATTGAGCGGATGTATTGTTAAACACCATTCATTTACAGGCGAAAACTCTATTACCATGGACGGTTATAATTATTCTTCTTCATCTGCATACTTACAGCGGCACTCAAGAGATACAGTAGAGGGCATGAAAGCACCAAACTCTTATCATTCATCGCTCCATGCAGTGCGTAAGGCTCCATTAAAGCCATGGAAGAAACCAATAGCACCACTGCCACCAACAAGACCAAAAGTGTACAAAGTGGATCCTGTAAACTTCCTGGACCTGGTTCAAAAGCTGACTGGTTCATCCGAATGCCAGTCTCAACGTCTCAAACGTGTGGCTCCACCTCCATTGAATGTCGCGCCAATCTCATGTTTCAGTGGAGACAATTATGCAGCTGCACCCCTGCAGCTGCTTCCTTCACCAGCAAAGACGCCATTGTCTGCTCTTTACAAGGAGTTGATGTCCGAAATGTCAGATTCGAAACCCCAAAAGATGTTGGATTGTGGGATGGAATCGAATTCACTTGGATTGAGTTTGTCACCATCTTCTCATACCTGGTGTGCTTTCCCTCTTTTGAGTCCTGGAACTCTTTCCAGTTTGGAGCAAAGCACAGTTCTTTAGTTCTTTCAGAAATGTTGCATCTACTATTTTCATGTACTTTTTTCTTTTTTTAGTTTTGTTGGAAATGGTTGAACCTGATCATCAAGAAAGTCAAAGCAGTTATAGTTAATATTTGTGCTGGACAACCATAGATTAAAATAACAGCTGTTCACTATTAATATCTGCTAAGGATTAATTTCGAAGCTTTGGCTTTCGATTGTTCCTTTTTCCGATATACATGTATAGTGTCCTGTAAAGTTCAAAAGATAATAAATAAGTCACATGCTAATCTACTTCTTTAGTCCTTTACAGAGTTATAGTCATGAATCGTTGGAGAATTCCATTAACAACTTTTATAATTTTTATAATTTCAAATATTGTAATTAATTTTATTCTATTAAGATTTTTTTGTTGTTTAAAGACTTATTTACCCATTGCTTTTTAGTTCATGGCGTTAGAAAACGGTGCTCAGGTGAGGGTATTGAGAATATTGAAAATCTCAGGAGAGGTATATGAAGGTTTCTGTAACAGTTGGTAGTAATTTGGAGTTTCATGAAATGTTAGGTGAGGTAGGTGATAGTAAGCCATTTTATAATTGCATGTGACTGGTAGAACTGCATCGACGACTAATGTTAGTGACTTGTTCAAATGTTTAAACTCTGTATCTTTTGTGAATCAGCTGTTAAAATAATAAGTAATGTCTCCTAAGTTCGAGTCCCCACAAGAGCAAGAGGAGGATCTAGCATAATCTTCCGAGTTTGAATTCATATATGCACTAATAGGGATAACCATTAAGAGGACTTACCCGACTGTTAACTTCAGGACCTTGAGGGATTAGTTGAAATGTGCATAAACTGATTCGAACACGCCCATAATAAAAAAAAATAATAATAAGTAAGTTTGGCTTATTTTCCTGCATTCTTTCCATCCTGCACAGGCGTGCGAATCTTCAAATGGCACGGGGAGATTATTGATCTCTGACGTACATCACAATGCCAATTGCTCACAAATGACAGCAAATTTTGATTAGCATTTTATATTTATCAGCTCCAGGCTCATTGACGTAATATTAACTAAATGATATCCAACTTAAAGTCAACTAATTACCATATCAGGACTAAGTCAAGACTGGCCCAAGACATTAACTTACATGCGTTTGTTTAAGCTTATGATTATAAACTAATTTTAGTTTATAAGCATTTAAAATTTTAAACAATTATGTGTTTGGTTAAAATATTTATAAGTGACTGATAAATAGTTGACATATTTAGAAAATATAGCTTATAAGTACATTTTATTATAAACTGACTAAAAATGATACTACATTAAATAAGGGTATACTATAAAATTTTAAAATTAAATAAGGATAATGTGGTAATATGTCTGGTCAAACTAGCTTATAAACAGAGTGCTTATAAAAAAAAAAAAAAAATACCTTCCTCCCAACTTTTTTTTATTTTATTTTTTTTTTCTTATAAGTTCAAAAAAGTTATAAATAAATAGATCAGTTTAATTTTAGAGCTTATAAGCTAGTTTGACCAGCTTATAAGCTTAGATAAACATCCCCTTAATGTCAACTTTAACCAGGAGTGTTGTGGTGTCACAATATCTAATAGCATCACATAATTGACAAGTAATTTCAAGGAGAAATACTACCTTTACAAAGAGAAATACAAAGAGGGATATACAAAGACAAATTCTACAAGAAATGTGCGGAAGACTTTAGACTTTCGTATACAAAGAGGGATATACAAAGACTTTAGACTTTAGATTAAAAATAGACAAGATTTGAAGAATATTAAATATGATTCATTTATATGTACACAGAAAATGTGACATCATAGTACAAGTCATATTACACATCTCGGTAAGATTCAAACAGGTTTGATACGAAGTTTCAACATAAAAGAAGAGAATGAAAAATGCTAGGCAATTCAGATCAAAACCATAGCTTTTTTGTGTACCAGTAATTGAAGATACATCAGGTTTGATTCTGCCCCTATTGATCCCAGTAGTTCCTTAGCTGTGACATATGTAAGAGAAGCTCGTCTCTGCCCAAACCAGTGACACTACTGGTCATGATCCAAGGGGGATGCTGCGGGTAGATTTCTCTTATCAGCTCCTGGAAACTCCTGATATTCTCATCAGGCCTTCTTCCTTTGGCCACCTTCATCTTGTCACATTTTGTGAAAACAAAAGTCATTGGTATCTGAACACAGCAGAAATGCAACAAATTAACATGAGAAAGTTTGATATAAGAATGGTTGAATTAATGAGCTTAAGATTCAGGAGCAGCTTACATTGTTACGTCCAAGCCAATTGGCACAGTCTAGGTCGATCTTCTGAGGTGGAACACTTGCATCAATGAGAAGAAGGACACCGACCAGAGTTTCTCTATTTAGAAAGTAGCCTTTTGTGAATGAGAACCAATCCATTCGAGCAGCATCTGGAGCTTTAGCAAAACTACAGGCACAAGGAATCCGCCAAATATTAAGTAAAGAACAAATATTTCACAGTCGCATAAAGTTTTGCTTATATAAAGAGAAGCATTCAGCTTCTTAGATTGTTCCATGGTTTAACAAGGTACCAATATCATGCATTAACTTGTAATTAGCAATGATAAAAGAAATTCTAGGAAAACAGTGAAATCATAAGAGGTATTTGTGACCTTTCATTTGGCACTTAACCAGTCAAAGAAGTAAGATTAAACCAAAAATCCCTCTTTAGAAGTGTTAGAAGTTTCAAGAACTTCTGTGCTGAGAATTATAGAGTGAAGTAGGCTGAAAAAGTTTCCACTGAAAATTGATTTGGATTGTACATCTTGGCTGCTCATGGATTACTAAAGGATCATAAATAGAAGTAAGGAACTAGCTTCTTCAAGCTTTTCAGAGGAAATTACTTGAAGCTTGGCGAGAGAAGTTCAACAATGATAATGGCAATTTAATTGATTTTCTCAATATGATGCTGTGTTTGTTAGAACCATCACTGATCTTCAGGGCATAAAGGTTGAAGATTGGAGACTTCTAGCTTAAACTATAATCAATATTATTCAGTGTGGGAGAAGGTTTGAAATCAGTTTGACTAAGAGGGGCAAGGAATTTTCCTACCATTTCAGTTCTTAACATGAGAGCAAGATCTTGGAACAGAAAATTAAAAAGCGGCACTGGATACTCTCATTAACAAGACACCACAGAACGACTTAACAAGACAAAATCAACTAAAGTAAAATGTTAAAAACAACTAAAAACAAAAAAAAAAAAAAAAAAAAAAACCCAAAGTACTAACAAATAAAGTGTAAAGAGCTTACCCATAACCAGGCAAATCAACAATATACCAACTTTTGTTCAGTAAAAAATGATTTATTAGCTGAGTCTTCCCTGCATAAACATAATTTTATTAAAACCAAAAATTAAATGTAATAAACAAACTAAAAAAAGAATAAACAAAACAAAAAAAAACCTGGTTTTTTCGATGTGAGAGCAATTTCTTTTTTGCGAACCAGAGCATTAATAAGCGAGGACTTTCCCACATTGGAGCGACCCACAATTGCAAACTCGGGTCGGTCATCTTTGGGGCAATCCTTGGCTCGACCGCTGCTTTTTACAAACTCCGCTTCCTTAATCTGGGAATGACCCGCATAGGGCCCCACCACGATATTCGACCCGGGCAAAATCATGTCTTCAGTCACCTCGTCCGGGTCGACACCAGGTGGCAGAAAGAGGACGGTCCGCACGAACCGGGCCGTGTCCGACATGGGTTGCGACTGTTTTGTGGTTTTTGAAGCCGTAGTGGTCACATGGAACCTCGGGTTTGGACCCAGCTTGGGGTTTCGGATGGAGCGAGAGAAGTTGACTTTGCAAAAGAGAGTAAATGGACATTGTTTAGGAGAGGGAGACAGAGATACAGACGATGATAAAAGACTGAACAGTCGATTTCGAACGAGCATTTTTTAGGGGTTTTAGGTTTGCCGGTTAAGGGGTTAACTGTTAAGGAGATTAAAGCAATCAAGACAATAACGGTGTCGTTTGAGAGACTTTTGTTTGTGAAAAATCTTTTAATTGGTAATATTTTCAGTCAAGTGAGTTATTTTCATTAAAAAACAGTACTAATCTACAGGGCATCTCATGTACATTAGATAAGAGTTACTTTGGGAGCCTTCTAATACTATAAGGATATATTAAAAAAATTATTTCAAATTTATGTTTCTTGTCTTTTAAGATATAAAATCACCATGAGAGGTAAACGGCCACCGACAAGCTAACGGGGTCAGGTTGGTGAGGGGTTTTGGAGAGCAGATATTGGAGAAATTAGTGATTTCCAATGCCAGGATTGATTGGAAAAGGCTTGAGAAATTATGGCCCAAAAGGTATCGGTGGTTGACGATTGGCGGAGTAAACGGATAAGGTATGATAGGGGTTTTGGTGAGAGGGCTGAGGGGAGGAAGATGGTGATGTTAGGAAAGGCCAACAACACCGGGTACATGCCGAAAAGGTTGAAAATGGATGTCGCAGACTATGGAGTTGGGTTGCAAGATTCGTAAAAAATCGGTCAAATCAAGGACTATCAAGGCTAGGAAATCACTTGAGAAATGATAAAGTGATGATTTCGATCGATTTTGGTGAGAAAATGTAATACCCCGTACTTCTTTTTTACGGAGTTTCATTAAATTTTATTTTGTGATTCTAGGGGTAAAGTGTAATAATTTAAAAGTTTTGGGGAGTAAAAATAGCCGAAATAAGTGAGGATTCCAGATATTTTGATGAACAGTGACCATTCAATGAAAAGAAAAACGGGGAAGAAGAAGAAGAAAAAAAAAAGAGAGGAAAAGAGAGAAGGAAAAGGAGCGAAAGAAAAGAGAGAAAAAAGAGAAAGAAGAAGAAGAGAAGGAGAGGAAGAAAAAAAGAAAGAAGGGAGAGGAAGATGGAACCAATAATAGAAAGAGTGGAGAGAAGAGAACGATGGAAGTGGTTGGAAAAGTGGCTACAGGCGAGCGAATTCCGGTGATCGGAAAGAGCAAAGGGAGATTGAGCAAATTGGGAGGTGAGTAAAGCTTGATATTTCCCTTTTTGGTGATTTATGATTCAATTGGTTTAAAGAACTCACTTTGGATTGTTTTGTCTATGATTTGGTATAAATTCATGAAAACAAAACTAAAATAGGGAGATTGATTTCAATAAGTTGGTGTGAGTAGAGTATACATGTGTTTCCTAAACAAAATTTGGTTAAAGATGTGATTTTGATATAAGGGCTCACTGTACAAAAATCTGACCATTTGGAATTCCGAAATTTTTTTGTATGTTTTGGGTTTTTGTTTGAAGCTGAATTTCGGTTATACTGTTGTAGACTTCTTGAGGAGTGTATAGAAATTTATTTCACTCAAAAACTCGAAAGATTGAATTTTATATGGATTTTTTAAGTTGTCTTGTGAATTTTGGAATTTTCGTTTTCTGCAGAATATTTATGTTTGGAAAATGGTTTGATGCATCTATTCTTATGCAAATTGAGTGATTTTTTCTGGTGAATCCTATATGTGTCTAGTTTAATTTTGGAGAGTTTCATGAGGTTTGGATTAAGGGCTGAATTGTTATGAATTTTTCAAGTCAGTAACTCCAATTTTGGATACAGGGGACAAATTTGAATGACTTGAAAGAAAATTGTGTTTTAAATAGTCATTGATTCCGGAATGACCTAAGAAAATTATGGGAATAACTTATGTGTCTTTAGAATGCCCTATTAAAATCATGGCTTAAAATGATGAATAGAATTTTTAAGAAAAATCCGAGAGCGACCAATGTTTGATTATGAGACAGTTTTGTTAAAGAAGAAATTATGTTAATCTTTTGGTGTGTGAAGTGTCCAATGATTTTAATATTGAGGTGTTACCTTATGGGGACTTATGTATGGAGGATTTATTAGATTTTGTATATAGGGAGGCAAGCAGGGGCATTATTAGAAGATTTTAATCATTTTTCGGCTTAAGGGTTGAGCTTCAAACTGTGAGTGAAAAAATCTAAATCCTTAACTTTCTTTTTAACAAAGTTATCTCTAAATGTTCTTTTATACTTGTTGATTGTTTTAAATTGCCTAATATGTTTGATTTATTTATATAAATGAGATTTATTGCAGTGTTATTGTTGATTGACATGAGAAAGATGGAATTTTGATGTTTTGTGGCAATAGTTTTAAAAGAAAAAAAAAATGGATTGAAATTGTTAGATTTGAAAACTTGCATTTATATTTTTAAGTTGTGAAATTATTATATGCTCATGAGAAAAATGTTTTGAGAATAAGTACGAGATGATAGCGGGTTTCAAACCACCCTACGTAGTACCCATCCCCCTCATGATGTGGATTTGATTCTACACATGCGTATGATTTGATATTGCCGGCCTAAGTGGGTTGAAGGCCTGAGCGAGACAGATATCACTGCGTTGGATGGATTTTGCCGGCCCAAGCGAGGCATATATCGCTACACATGATTTGATTTGCCAGCCCAAGTGGGTCGAAGGCCAGAGCGAGGCAGATATCACTACACGGGATATGATTTTGCTGGCTCGAGTGATGCTTGGACTCACTGGGTCGAAGGCTTGAGCAATAACCGATTCTGCCTAGCAGGATGGATTTAGTGGTTCAACCCGCGCGATGTTAGATCTTGTTGGGTTAGACGGATTTACCCCTGAGTACTAGTTGGGTGAGAGTTTTCACATGTGATTGAAAGATGGTTTGGATATGTATATATATGTATGTCATTTATTTGAAAATGGGAACTTATAAATGTAAATGTTATCCGTATATGAACTGTTTCTTAGAAATTATATTTTTAGAGAAACAGGAGTATTGATTCGTTTACCATAATAGTGTTCAGAAAGAAGTCTTGCCATGAGAGATTTCAACATGTGTTATGAAAGGTGGCTTATATTAAAATGTGTTTATGGAAATGAAATTTTATAAGCATGAGTGTTTTTATTGTCTATTGAAATGTTTTATTACATACTAACCCGTTCCCCACTCATTGAGCATTTCTAGCTCACCTCTCGTTTTCAAATGTTTTTCTATCCCCCCACCAGGTCAAGAAGGAGATTGTGCGGAGGAGTAAATCCCACTCAAGGTTGGGCCACACGACTTCATTTCATCATATATTCTATAGTTGTGTTTTATTTTCCGCTGCAAAGTTTATGTTTTCTTCATCATGTATTTATTTCTTGTTTCGTATTATTAAAGATATGGAAAGATCTAATACCATACATTTCATTTTGTGAAAATTTCAGTTACATTTATTTATTTGCAAATGACGTTACATCTATTCGTGAGAAAAAAAAAAAAGAGTACTTATAAATGTTTTAGCTAGAAGAGTTTTATGATGTTTTAATTCATAAACAGGTTTTATAGTTTTCCCACATGGCACGTCTCGATTACCCAAGTCTTATGGGTGCGTCCAGAGCCTATGGGTCTTAGCCAGTTTGGATAAGAAATTATATACTATTTTTATTTTTGTAATATATTTAAAAAAATTATAAAATTTTGGGCCATTGGCCTTATTTTTTGGGCCCTAGGCAGGTGCCTCACCTGCTTATCCCTTGGGCCGGCCTTGCTAATATATTCTAGAATTGCTCTATTTTGACAAATTGGATTGACAACTAGGATTTGTGGTTTAATGAGCTCAATCAAATTGCTTCATTTTGACACATTGAGTTTGTATTTATTGCTCCATTTTGACATGTTAGATTTGTATTAATAATTAAAAATTAATAAAAATTGTATTAATAATTAATAATAATACTAATTATATAAGTGCATTGCATTGACATTCCAAAGGTCAAACCATAATGACCAATTGGATTTGTGATTGTCATATGATTGAATTTTATTGGTGATGATGTAGACAATAATAATTGTTGCATTCGTATTCCAAAGTTGGATGTCTGGTTTAATGAGATAGTAATGCACTACATTGATATTCCAATAATAATAATATAGGTGCATTGCATTGACATTCCAAAATTGCGACTATTTTGACGTGTAGGATGTGCATTAATAACAAGTATACAGATGCATTGAATTGCTATTAATAATTGTGGTTTAATGACATATGTCTAGGATTGTTATTAATAATTATAGGTGCATTGTATTGACATTGCAAACTTTTCTTTGTATTCAATTTGTATTTAATTGTGTTGGCATTCGACAGGTCTAAATAAGAGGTTATAAAAGGGGCATATGTTCAGTTGTGTATTATCGTAATATGTTAGTTGGTGTCAATAATACGTCTATTCTTTTGTTAATTGTTTATAGGTTATGTTAGTTTGTGTCAATAATACGTCTGTTTTTTATGATTTTGTTAATCGATGATTTTTTATTAGTTATGTTTTTGTTGTTGTTTACACGTCAAAGATTCATGAATTAACATGGAATAAAGACTGGATGTCCGATTGACATTGTCAAATGAGTTGTTATTTTGATTCGTTCTTCTGAATTGTAAGTATATCTTCTAACTATTTTAATATGAAATTGTTAGTACATCTCCTAACTATTTAAACGGTTATTATTTGATTGAATGATTGTTTTTGTTCGGTCAATTTATTTGAAGGATTAATTGTGTTAGTCCTGTCGAACGGTAAGTGTATTCCTTAACAATTTTAATACGAAGATTAATTAACTTTGTTTATTTCGTTTTCAGGTAATAGTTGTTATACGAATGAATAATTGTTCCTTAACAATCTTAACATGAAGATCGATTAAATTTTATTATGTTTGTTTTCAAGGAAATGTTCATCTACTGTACTAAGATCAAATCAAGGATGATCCTATTGTCAGCCGAACTGTGAGTATGTGTCATAACTATATTATTAGAAATAGTTCATTTGTGTTGAACATGTTTTCTGTAAAAACATTCATGTATTTTAATTTGTTATATGAATGATTAATTGTTTATGTCCTACTGATGTGCGAGTATATATGTTAAATGAATTAATCTTGGTTGATTCCGTTTTC